ACAGCGCCCGGGCGAGGGCGAGCCGGTGCGAGGGCGCGGGCCGGGGTCGCCTGGCGGACGGTCCTGCTCCACTCGGCTCCCGAGGGCACCGGGCCCAGGCTGTGGGGCGCCCCGTGGGCGTCCGGGGGGCGTGTAAATCGTTGGGGGGGGGCCCTGGTGCAGTGGTAGTGATACGGGGTGGGGTCTTTCCTCGCCCTCCTCTCCAAAGCCCACCGCCCTCTCCCTGTCTCCTCTCTCTTCGGTGAAGACTGGTGAGTCGGCTTTGGGTGTGTTGCCTGGCGAAGCGAGTTGTAGGCATCCAAGACTGCCCTGTTAGGCATGCCTGATGGCAACCCCTTGCCGCGGTAGCTTTTAGGGATAGAGAAAAAGTACTCTAACCCCTTCGCCCCGCGCCCCCAAGCTCTTAACGCTAGAGGCTTCAGGACAAAACGATTTTTCCCTAGCCCCTCAGTATCCATTGTTTTGTACCATTCCCCTCCTCCGCCCCGTGCCTAGGTAGAAGAATAATGACTCCAAACCATTAATTGCCTTTTTTTTCTTAAATCGGCAGAGGGTTTGTGTTATTGTGTTAGTATGGGTTTACAAACGGGTGGAATGAATACCGATTCGGGTGTTGGAAAGAAGATGCCTTTTTTGTATGTTTTTTTTTTAAAGCTTTCAGCACTTACAGTTGGTGATTTGATTTTCTTGTCTATCTGTGGCTTTGTATCATAATGGGGGTGATGAGAATAAAAGAGGAAGCGGTGTTTTACAACCTACCCAAAGAAGTGTTTTCTAAGTCTCTGGGGATGCTGAAGCAAAATTGGGTTGCAGATGTGGACTGTGTAGTATTTGCCTCGGTAGTGATAACTACGAACAGTCTATATCTAAGCTTACACCTGTGCAGTTTTGTACACTTTTTCATAAATATCAGCAGCTTCTAGTATCTACTCAGAGGGATTACTGTGTCTAAAACTTATTTTCTGTTGCATTTTTCAGAATCATAGGGTACACTTTTGTAACCAGATATTTTTTGTATCTAAATGTAGATCGACACTGAAAAATTGTCTTAATTTTAAAGGCCTCAGGTTGTTAGTCTACTAATCTCTACCCTCATCCTTCTATGCCATTGCCCTTGTAACTGTTTGTTACTATGTATTTGAAGAGACTTAGCTATTGGGTACAATTTGTAACATTCAGTAAGCTTACATTTATAGTTTGAATTTATCAAGTGTTGATGTTTTTCTATGTGCTGGTGACAAGAATTTTTAGGAATAAAGTATATAAATCACCATTTGCTACATATGGAGCTTAGACTGGATGTGATAAATCTTTTAAATACTTATTTGGACATAAGGTATGCTGTAAAACTTTAATTTTGAATATATATTTGAAAAATAGACTACAGATAAATAAATGAAGGCTTTGTTTCAAGTTTGTAACTTTGAAATGGCTTAAATGTAACATAAAGCTAACATAATCAACTATATCCTTGAAATGCCAGTTTCTAGGTATGGACCTGGCCTATCTCTAAGGTTACTACTTTTTCCCAAGGTGTTTGTTTGGTTTTTGAAGAAGCAACTGGGTTTATCTCAGGTTGGCATTTGCTTTCTTGTTTTTCATTGTTGGTATGATTTTTAAGTGTTTAAATTTTTCTCTTGTTATAAATTGTTGTGGATTAAAGAGTGATATTAAGAGATATAGTAATAGCTTGCAGCTGGATTATTTTTTAGTCGTCCCCCCCCAAGCCCCAGTAGATAGTTGTATGTCATAGCTGCACATCCTTCTAGTTGCTGTATGTGGGACACGGCCTTCAGCATGGCGGGAGAAGTGGTGCGTCAGTGTGCACCCGGGATCCGAACCTGGGCCGCCAGAAGCGGAGTGCGCGCACTTAACCACTAAGCCACGGGGCCGGCCCTATTTTTCAGTTTTTAAACTGCCATACGCAGATGGTTGATCAGAGCTGTGCTTTGATAATTGTAGCAAGTAAGACTTGTACAACAACTTGTGAACTCCAAACCAAATTTTAAATATAGCACTTTTCAAAAAGGAACACCAAAATTATAAATTGTTGTGTTATACTTACTGGAATTATGCTTTTTAAATATTACTGTTTCATCCGTGACTTGGGACAGGGCTTGTCCCGTGTTCAGAGAAACATAAACTGGAATTCTATGTGGAATACTCTCAAAGATGGCTTCTGAATAGCGGCTGGTATATTATTTGCCTTGGCTTACCCATATGGATTGTGGGGGAAGGGTGAATGAAATTGGCATTCTTTGTTATCCAGGCAGTTAAATTGCAGTCATTATATGTTTTGAAAATATTCTGGATAATCAGTATCTATTGTGTAATTTAATATTTCTTTAAGATTTGTGTTCTTTAAACAATTTAAATAATTTTTAGATTCTTTTTCTAGTAAGAAGATATTTAAATATAAAAATAATCTGTTGTGTTTTTGACTAAAAAATATACTCTAACCTGTATTGCAGATATAAGGATAAATATTTTTTGGAGGTTGAAGATTAAATGGAGGAATATATCTTTAGAATTCAGTTTATTATATCATTCATGTATCACTCATGTATGAAAAAGCATAAAATCTATGCTTATAACCAAAAAAACAAAACAAGACACTCCTTCCTCCCCTGATCCCAAACAATAAAAAATAACCAAGCAAGTTGACCCATAAATCCTTCAGTGAGTTCTGAGGTTTATAGCTTGGCCTTGGTGGAAGTGTTCTTGATCTAGTTTATAAAATATCACTTAGGCGAGGAAATTTAGATATAAAGTATACACTTTGACGTTTCCAAATATTTTGCTGTAGATGAGTTAGATAGAAATTGGCTGTAATTTAGCAGCAGATATTAAATATTAAATTGGTCACTATTTTTGCTTATTGATAGATTTACATTTCATGCATTGTATATTATGCATCAGGCATGTTATAATTTAGGGCTAAATCTTTCATAGACTAAATTTTATATGTATATATATTTGCTATTCCTGTCTTCTGAATTTTGTTTTGCCTACTCATTACACTGCATCAAAATTATGCCCTATAGATCTTTCTGGAAATACTTTCTCTGTTAAGACAGTAGTTAAAATTTTGTATTTTTCTACCTCTCTGGCTACATTGATTTTTAAATTCTGAAAAATTTCTGTTAACAAGGTGACCTATGATGTGCTTGAACTTGATATGTTATAGAGTGTTTTGAAGTGTTATTGTCAATCAGTGCAGGTTGAAAGGAACATGCATATAAGTCCGAGAAATTGATTTATGCTCTAAAATATGTAATAGCATTATTTTCAGGTAAACTAATGTTCATTCTGTCTTTGTTTGGTATTGTCCCCTGGTTCCCAGCTTTTTAGCACAGTATCTTTAATTCAGCAAATCAAAGTTCTAACACATGAAAAGAATATTCTAATTAGAAAAGGCTCTTTAACTTGTAAGATGTTGGTAACATATGTGCTTTTTGAGAAACTATGAAGTTCCTATTATCAAGATTTAAAAGAACGAATTAGATTTCACACTATATATTTCACTCCAACTTCTCTAAAGATCAGAACTGGTTTCAAAAAGTAGTACATGCTGTAAAAGGTAAGGATTCTTTTATTGGAAAGAATGAACATATTGCTTGAAGCTAAAACATTACAGGAGACCTTAAAAGAGAGTATAATTGGTCCCTATGTGAAATGAACCTGAAAGACAGTTATGAAGTATTTTGGTATGTCTGTCTTCTAGTGTTTATAGCACTGTGAACATTCAAAATTTAAGCACTTTATTTGCTCAAATGCTGTTTATAAATCCTACAATTTTAATTAAGTAATTCCACAGTTGGCAAAGGTAGATCTTTTTTTCTTTTAGTTTTTCTAATGTCTTAGAGGTAAACTGGAAATGACTTGTTCTGACACTGATAATGTCTGGAATTTGGAGTTAATTTCATCAGTTAAATTTGGGCTTTCTCAGTTTCCAGTTTTGTGTTGTACAACACTCCTTCCTGCTTTCAAGACTTGCACAGTTTTGCAAATAGTCTTTAACTTAAATTTTGTTCTATAAATATTTCTTACTAACTACAGTTTCATATTAACTTATGTCATAGACCTTCTACTAAGTGCCATGTATGTCCCAGACTGAGGATGCAGAGGTAAATATACTATGTTTCCTGCTTTCAGTAAGCTCACAGTTTGTTACATGAACTGGACAAATCTATTGTTAATTGTTTTACAATGTGACAAGTGCTTTGATAGCAGTATACACTGAAGAACTCAGATGAGTTAAGACTCAGACTGCAAATATAACCAGCAATGCTTACTGGAGGGTAGGACCTGAACTAACTCTTGAGGAATAAGTGGGGTGGGTAGAGGGTAGAAAAAGCATAGAAGTTAGATATGGTAAGGTCCATTTG